TTATTATTATTATTAACACGTGTTGATTAGTTCAGCAAGTGTGCACGCATTTCAACTCCCATACCTCTTCCCAGTTTTCTTCTTTAAATGAAATCTCACGCTTTTTACCACTAGATCTCTCTTTCATGAATTCGTCGATTTCCTCGTCGAGTTCAGCGGCTGTCTTCCTAGTCGATGGGCCTTTATTGTCTGCCATGTTGTATACTAAACGAAGAAATTCTACAGGCGCAAGAGAGGCGCGCACTGAAAGACAACCGACGAGTACTAGAAACGAGTTTCTGAGCCTTGTTTCTGGTAACCAGCACCTCGATGTCATGCGCAGTGTTATTACGCGGGTAAACCAAAATGGCGCATAGTAACTCCAATTTTTTTTTCCTGGTTTTGTCTGGTCACTATTTTTCGGCATCTAATCTGTTTTAGACATATGCATTGTAGAGAGCAGGAACAGAATATTTTAATTCAGGATCCATGCGAGCAATTCATGCGATAGAATGAATCAGGGGGCGAGGATACTTAGTGCGTTGTCTCGCATCGGTTATCCGAAGGCTAACCAGTTTGAGGGAGACAGTTTTGATTGGCTATTCGATTGCGAGTCAGTTGTTCCATTCCTGGAATGGTTTTGTGAAAATATCCACGAGTCAAATGTTGTTTCCCTTGAAGATCTGAAGAGGTAAGAGAAGAAAGACTTAAAAAGTCCTTCATTTTCACTAAAGCTTACATGTATGTATGTGACTTCCTTAAACAATGCGCATATTTAAGGTAACCAGTCGAAGAGTTGTTTCGCTGTTTACTAATTTATATTTTAAAAGAGTTATTATACCTGTGCGCTGATGTTATTATTGTACACACAAGACTGTCGACTTGTATCGGCTGAAGTGTTTGTATAGATGACATTCCTATGTCATGGTAATCATAATTATTACAAAGATTTAAGTTAAAAACTTTAAATATTACTGAAAAAAACCAACGTACCTGCTGGTACGTTGGTTAAGACTAGCTTAATTCTTAAGATTGATCGAACTAAGCATGCATTCGTTAGCTTTGAGAGGTGAAGAATAATATCTCTGGCTGTATAAACTCTAATTGNCACTTTCACGGGTTCATTACGAATCAACTTAACGGCCTGCTCTCAGTTGGCTTGTTAGCTCAATTGGTTAGAGCGCTGCACTAGTATCGCAGAGGTCAGTGGTTCGAGTCCCGTACAGGCCTGATTTTTTTCAGGTCTGAATTTCGCTATTGCTCAAATAGCGCTATCTACTGCGAGGATCGTCCATCATACGTATCAAATACCGCAGTTCAAAATATATGATTTTCATATATTTATTCTATCTCATTTATCACTTTCACGGGTTCATTACGAATCAACTTAACGGCCTGCTCTCAGTTGGCTTGTTAGCTCAATTGGTTAGAGCGCTGCACTAGTATCGCAGAGGTCAGTGGTTCGAGTCCCGTACAGGCCTGATTTTTTTCAGGTCTGAATTTCGCTATTGCTCAAATAGCGCTATCTACTGCGAGGATCGTCCATCATACGTATCAAATACCGCAGTTCAAAATATATGATTTTCATATATTTATTCTATCTCATTTATCACTTTCACGGGTTCATTACGAATCAACTTAACGGCCTGCTCTCAGTTGGCTTGTTAGCTCAATTGGTTAGAGCGCTGCACTAGTATCGCAGAGGTCAGTGGTTCGAGTCCCGTACAGGCCTGATTTTTTTCAGGTCTGAATTTCGCTATTGCTCAAATAGCGCTATCTACTGCGAGGATCGTCCATCATACGTATCAAATACCGCAGTTCAAAATATATGATTTTCATATATTTATTCTATCTCATTTATCACTTTCACGGGTTCATTACGAATCAACTTAACGGCCTGCTCTCAGTTGGCTTGTTAGCTCAATTGGTTAGAGCGCTGCACTAGTATCGCAGAGGTCAGTGGTTCGAGTCCCGTACAGGCCTGATTTTTTTCAGGTCTGAATTTCGCTATTGCTCAAATAGCGCTATCTACTGCGAGGATCGTCCATCATACGTATCAAATACCGCAGTTCAAAATATATGATTTTCATATATTTATTCTATCTCATTTATCACTTTCACGGGTTCATTACGAATCAACTTAACGGCCTGCTCTCAGTTGGCTTGTTAGCTCAATTGGTTAGAGCGCTGCACTAGTATCGCAGAGGTCAGTGGTTCGAGTCCCGTACAGGCCTGATTTTTTTCAGGTCTGAATTTCGCTATTGCTCAAATAGCGCTATCTACTGCGAGGATCGTCCATCATACGTATCAAATACCGCAGTTCAAAATATATGATTTTCATATATTTATTCTATCTCATTTATCACTTTCACGGGTTCATTACGAATCAACTTAACGGCCTGCTCTCAGTTGGCTTGTTAGCTCAATTGGTTAGAGCGCTGCACTAGTATCGCAGAGGTCAGTGGTTCGAGTCCCGTACAGGCCTGATTTTTTTCAGGTCTGAATTTCGCTATTGCTCAAATAGCGCTATCTACTGCGAGGATCGTCCATCATACGTATCAAATACCGCAGTTCAAAATATATGATTTTCATATATTTATTCTATCTCATTTATCACTTTCACGGGTTCATTACGAATCAACTTAACGGCCTGCTCTCAGTTGGCTTGTTAGCTCAATTGGTTAGAGCGCTGCACTAGTATCGCAGAGGTCAGTGGTTCGAGTCCCGTACAGGCCTGATTTTTTTCAGGTCTGAATTTCGCTATTGCTCAAATAGCGCTATCTACTGCGAGGATCGTCCATCATACGTATCAAATACCGCAGTTCAAAATATATGATTTTCATATATTTATTCTATCTCATTTATCACTTTCACGGGTTCATTACGAATCAACTTAACGGCCTGCTCTCAGTTGGCTTGTTAGCTCAATTGGTTAGAGCGCTGCACTAGTATCGCAGAGGTCAGTGGTTCGAGTCCCGTACAGGCCTGATTTTTTTCAGGTCTGAATTTCGCTATTGCTCAAATAGCGCTATCTACTGCGAGGATCGTCCATCATACGTATCAAATACCGCAGTTCAAAATATATGATTTTCATATATTTATTCTATCTCATTTATCACTTTCACGGGTTCATTACGAATCAACTTAACGGCCTGCTCTCAGTTGGCTTGTTAGCTCAATTGGTTAGAGCGCTGCACTAGTATCGCAGAGGTCAGTGGTTCGAGTCCCGTACAGGCCTGATTTTTTTCAGGTCTGAATTTCGCTATTGCTCAAATAGCGCTATCTACTGCGAGGATCGTCCATCATACGTATCAAATACCGCAGTTCAAAATATATGATTTTCATATATTTATTCTATCTCATTTATCACTTTCACGGGTTCATTACGAATCAACTTAACGGCCTGCTCTCAGTTGGCTTGTTAGCTCAATTGGTTAGAGCGCTGCACTAGTATCGCAGAGGTCAGTGGTTCGAGTCCCGTACAGGCCTGATTTTTTTCAGGTCTGAATTTCGCTATTGCTCAAATAGCGCTATCTACTGCGAGGATCGTCCATCATACGTATCAAATACCGCAGTTCAAAATATATGATTTTCATATATTTATTCTATCTCATTTATCACTTTCACGGGTTCATTACGAATCAACTTAACGGCCTGCTCTCAGTTGGCTTGTTAGCTCAATTGGTTAGAGCGCTGCACTAGTATCGCAGAGGTCAGTGGTTCGAGTCCCGTACAGGCCTGATTTTTTTCAGGTCTGAATTTCGCTATTGCTCAAATAGCGCTATCTACTGCGAGGATCGTCCATCATACGTATCAAATACCGCAGTTCAAAATATATGATTTTCATATATTTATTCTATCTCATTTATCACTTTCACGGGTTCATTACGAATCAACTTAACGGCCTGCTCTCAGTTGGCTTGTTAGCTCAATTGGTTAGAGCGCTGCACTAGTATCGCAGAGGTCAGTGGTTCGAGTCCCGTACAGGCCTGATTTTTTTCAGGTCTGAATTTCGCTATTGCTCAAATAGCGCTATCTACTGCGAGGATCGTCCATCATACGTATCAAATACCGCAGTTCAAAATATATGATTTTCATATATTTATTCTATCTCATTTATCACTTTCACGGGTTCATTACGAATCAACTTAACGGCCTGCTCTCAGTTGGCTTGTTAGCTCAATTGGTTAGAGCGCTGCACTAGTATCGCAGAGGTCAGTGGTTCGAGTCCCGTACAGGCCTGATTTTTTTCAGGTCTGAATTTCGCTATTGCTCAAATAGCGCTATCTACTGCGAGGATCGTCCATCATACGTATCAAATACCGCAGTTCAAAATATATGATTTTCATATATTTATTCTATCTCATTTATCACTTTCACGGGTTCATTACGAATCAACTTAACGGCCTGCTCTCAGTTGGCTTGTTAGCTCAATTGGTTAGAGCGCTGCACTAGTATCGCAGAGGTCAGTGGTTCGAGTCCCGTACAGGCCTGATTTTTTTCAGGTCTGAATTTCGCTATTGCTCAAATAGCGCTATCTACTGCGAGGATCGTCCATCATACGTATCAAATACCGCAGTTCAAAATATATGATTTTCATATATTTATTCTATCTCATTTATCACTTTCACGGGTTCATTACGAATCAACTTAACGGCCTGCTCTCAGTTGGCTTGTTAGCTCAATTGGTTAGAGCGCTGCACTAGTATCGCAGAGGTCAGTGGTTCGAGTCCCGTACAGGCCTGATTTTTTTCAGGTCTGAATTTCGCTATTGCTCAAATAGCGCTATCTACTGCGAGGATCGTCCATCATACGTATCAAATACCGCAGTTCAAAATATATGATTTTCATATATTTATTCTATCTCATTTATCACTTTCACGGGTTCATTACGAATCAACTTAACGGCCTGCTCTCAGTTGGCTTGTTAGCTCAATTGGTTAGAGCGCTGCACTAGTATCGCAGAGGTCAGTGGTTCGAGTCCCGTACAGGCCTGATTTTTTTCAGGTCTGAATTTCGCTATTGCTCAAATAGCGCTATCTACTGCGAGGATCGTCCATCATACGTATCAAATACCGCAGTTCAAAATATATGATTTTCATATATTTATTCTATCTCATTTATCACTTTCACGGGTTCATTACGAATCAACTTAACGGCCTGCTCTCAGTTGGCTTGTTAGCTCAATTGGTTAGAGCGCTGCACTAGTATCGCAGAGGTCAGTGGTTCGAGTCCCGTACAGGCCTGATTTTTTTCAGGTCTGAATTTCGCTATTGCTCAAATAGCGCTATCTACTGCGAGGATCGTCCATCATACGTATCAAATACCGCAGTTCAAAATATATGATTTTCATATATTTATTCTATCTCATTTATCACTTTCACGGGTTCATTACGAATCAACTTAACGGCCTGCTCTCAGTTGGCTTGTTAGCTCAATTGGTTAGAGCGCTGCACTAGTATCGCAGAGGTCAGTGGTTCGAGTCCCGTACAGGCCTGATTTTTTTCAGGTCTGAATTTCGCTATTGCTCAAATAGCGCTATCTACTGCGAGGATCGTCCATCATACGTATCAAATACCGCAGTTCAAAATATATGATTTTCATATATTTATTCTATCTCATTTATCACTTTCACGGGTTCATTACGAATCAACTTAACGGCCTGCTCTCAGTTGGCTTGTTAGCTCAATTGGTTAGAGCGCTGCACTAGTATCGCAGAGGTCAGTGGTTCGAGTCCCGTACAGGCCTGATTTTTTTCAGGTCTGAATTTCGCTATTGCTCAAATAGCGCTATCTACTGCGAGGATCGTCCATCATACGTAACTGTAGGTTATAGTGTACGTTGATAGAGACAGCTGTAGTTGCTGAAAAGATCTTTCACAGTTTAACTGCAGTGAGGGCAAATTAGGCCTGCTCTGCAGCCTATGGTATATCTACAAGAAATCTGCCATATGTACTGTTCATCAGCCTTTTTCTCAAAAGCCCAGTTAACTCAATGGATAGAGCGCTGGACTGTTGTGCGGGAGGTTGAGGGTTCGAGCCCCGGCCGGACCAACACTCAAGGTCTTAAAATAATTGAGAAGAATATGCTACCTTTCAATAACATCAAGAAATTGTTAGATAATGTAGTCTTCTTGGATAGGGACAAATAAATGAAGGTCCTGTCTCCTGCAGGGTTAGGGGTAGGAAACGTTAATTTCCCACGCACGAGATTACTGTTTGATGGATGTCCTCCCCTGGGGTGGGATGGGTGGATTAATAATATTTGAATGTATTTAATACGAGTCGCTGGCTCATTGTACATCTCGAATTGAAATAAATGAACAGACAGACAGACAGCCCCATAGTAACCTGTTTTCAGATGAAAAATCAGTTTAATACTTTGCACCATAACATCATGTGCATTCACCATAACATACAGTAGTTTGCATTCAGGGAAGCAGGGATGGCGTAGTGGTGAGAGCACTCGCCTCCCAGCAATGTGGCCCGGGTCTGATTCCCAGACCTGACGCCATAAGTGGATGGAGTGTGTGTTGGTTCTCTTCTCTGCCTCGAGGGGTTTTCTCCAGGTTCTCCAGTTTTCCTCCCTCACCACAAACCAACATACAGCTGATACCAGCTGACTGTAAGCTGTACTCCAAGATCTCACATGGACCGTATGGCGGCTGCCAGAGGCGCCATTGTAAGCTTTCGGTTCGACCTTGTTGAGCTGCATCGTTGCTATACTTTGTGACAGCGATTAGCAGTGACAATTATTATTATTATTCTCTATACGATTCTCCATGCTTTTCAAAGAGAATTTGTTTAACAATCAATAGCTTGTATTTTATGCGTGATTCAAGGTTAATGCTATGCAGTAAAATCATTAAGGGCTTGTCATTCTTAGGGGTCAAATGGTAAAGTGGCATTGTAACTAAATTGCATTCATTTTTCTACAGATTTGATGAACTACAGTCATCTGGTGCACATATTCTTGAGGTTAGTTACATTAATAGACTCGGCAATATATCAATTCATACATATAAAAGTACGTATAGCTGTCAGTAAGCTAGAATTGCTAAACTGACAAAGAAATCAGTACAGATGAAAGGAATACAGTTGTTACCATAGTCATAAATGTGATTTAAAAAAGATTTAGAGAAGTACATAGACAGGTAAGTTTGTATTAATAGAAGTTTACCCAAATTATTCTTCTTCAGAGTGATGAAGTTGACAAAACTTTATCAATGTTGCTGCAAGAGGAAGAAGAATTGTCTGGTGAAACCTTGAGGTAAAGTGTACATCTGCAATCCATTTGTCAGCACTCTTGTATTTTTTCTGTGACACCGTAATTTGTTTTGATTAAATCAAATGATAAGCATGCTTGATTTTCTTTTGATGTTATGTTGAGAAGCACTAAAGACAGTTACTTAATATATGGCTTTTATGGCATAAAAATGATGTGTTATTGAACAAATGTGAAGTCAAGATGGTTGAATATTGGCTGTTCTTTTTTTGCATTTTTAAGGACCAAGACGAAATCAAAGTCCATGAAAACACAAAAACAGTATGAGGCTAAAATCCAGCCATCTTGACCCAACAAACTTGGTCAAAAAAGGATTTATTTTATACATGTATAATTAGGTAAATGATCAAAGAACAATAAGAATCCTGATTGACATTTGTTTAGTGAAAAAATAAAAGGTTTTTAAAAACTTCCACAAATGCAAATTCTGTTCTCGCTTAGGAAAAAGACACTACAACTCATGTAACTTCTCTCGTATTGTTTTCTGTTAAACAAAACCAGACACTGCCTTTCAATTTTTTTTATTTTCCAGGATTTGTAGCATAATAAACTCACAAAAATTGTTTGTATTGACTGACCTTTGCCACTTTTTGTGACTCCAGCACTGGCAGACTTTCAAAATTACAAATGATATTTTGTAAGTCCTTTCTATACAATTTCTTTTTTGATGGGTGAGATCAAAGTGGGCAAAACTATCTTGGCTTCATATTGCCCACAAGTGCTACCAGCTATATAATAAATGTTATCACTATTTCATATTTACCCCTTAGAGCCTGCTGGTTTTATTTTTGTATTAATACCTTTTTTTCTAATAATATTGTCATAATCAATTACTCTGATAAAAGAGTACACTGTATTTTTAATTTTAAACCTAGAATTGTGGCATTTTACATTTTGTACTGGCAGAATTGAGGTTGACTTGCTAGGGAAAGAGGTACAATTGATGAAACAAAGACTGCAAAAGATAGTTTCCCAAAGGAATAAATTAAGGTAAAGTGCTATTACATTTATGTTGAGAAATATTTATTTTTAAGTACTGTAACAATTGATAAAAGTAAACTGTTTTTTCCCTATTCCAAGATCACAGTACAAAAGTTCCCTCTCCTTTCAAGCACAGTTCATTGAACAAGTCAAAAGTAATCAGCAAAAAAATTATCTAATGTTCAAATGAATTAAAAACTTCGCTTGTCATTGTTTTTGTTTAGGTGAGTTGTTTTCACCCAAACCATAGATAAAGCTTTGAAAGAGGACCTTCCTTGGAGTTTGTTGTATAATTATTTATTCTAGACTACAGTGTTATTCACAGTAATACTGAAATGGCAAAGCTATCAGTGCAAACATTTAATGTTTGGAACTTTTTATTTTCTTCACACACTGCACCATTAATTTTGGTCGACTTGTTTCCTCCAATAAGGCCAGTTGTACGCTTTTTGCATGTGGTTCCTTCTTGATTTTGTCTTCTTTATTTCAGCTTTTCAATCATTCTTTTTAATCATAATGTGTATTCTTACCCAAACAACATAAAAAGCTTCAAAAGAGGATCTTCCTCTGAGTTTGTCTAACTTATAATTACAGTGTATTCCAGACTACAGTGTTCTTCACAGTAACGCTGAAATCAGTGCAGAAATGTTTGGAGATTCTAAAATTCTTCACACACTACATCAATGCAGCCAACTTGTTTCTTTCCATTAGGCCAATTCTGGGCATTTTAGACATGTGTCCTTTTCGATTTTGTCTTCTTTATTTCAACATTTTAATTTTATATAATTGATAAGCAGTTTTTAAATTAAACTAACATAGACCACTTTCATAAATGGCTGCCGGATTAATAATTATTCTTTTGTTTAAATTTAAATTAGCCCTTCTGGCCTTGCTTGAGATAATGTATTCTTTTGAATTTTGTTCAGGAGAATGAGGCTAGAAGGGCTAATTTAGATTTAAACAAAAGAATACTAATCTGGCAGCCATTTATGAAAGTGGCCTATTACGTTACATATGTGGCCCCCATCCATGTAAAACAGTCAACATTCATTCCAGACAAGTTCATTACTGTCAAGTTAATGCCTCCCAGTTAGCTCAATGGATATAGCGCTGGACTGTTGTGCGGGAGGTCGAGGGTTCGAGCCCTGGCCATACCAACACTCAAGGTCTTAAAATAATTGAGAGGAATATGCCACCTTTCTATACCATCAAGAAATTAATGGTTAGATATTCTAATCTTCTTGGATAGGGACGGATAAATGGAGGTCCCGTCTCCTGCAGGGTTAGGGGTAGGAGACATTAATTTGCCATGCACAAGATTACTGTGTGATGGATATCCTCCCCTAGGGTGGGATGGGTGGGAGTATTTAGCATGTGCATGTTCTTACGAGCTTTGTTGTAAGCTATTTAGTGTTCAACATGGATAAAATAATTATACATGTACTTACTTACTTACTTACTTACTTACTTACTTACTTACTTACTTACTTACTTACTTGCTTGCTTGCTTGCTTGCTTGCTTGCTTGCTTGCTTGCTTGCTTGCTTGCTTGCTTGTTTGCTTGCTTACTTCTGTTACATTGTACCTTCTCAGTCTTCATCATACAGGTTTGACTCACAAGCTTTCAAAACTCAGTGGTGTTGTTCAGGAACATAAACAAAAATACAAGAGCAGTCTTGAGTCCAGTCAAACTGACAATACACAGGTAAAAGATTGAAAGCTTTGAAATCATTGAGGAAGAGTTTTTTGGTCTTGTCCCCATGAGGAATCTCAAACCTTCAGATTCGGTGCTCCAATGTTCTACATCCCATCCTGTAAACTCTACAAGAAGGGACTGTTTAAAAAAGGAAACTTTAGATGCTGAAGTTAGTATGTAAGAATTCATTAATCTCATGAATGCTATTCATTTTCGCCATTATTACTTTATAATATTCAGATGAACTCCACCTTAAAGCAGTTAGAAGAATCTGTTTCACAGATGGTGGCATTGTACGGAGGACAAGAAGGTGAGCCATTATACATGCAGACAAACAAAGATACAATGTACATGCAGTCAAGCCTGTAATAGCCAGCACAATATAAGGAATCACCCTGCATTGAGTAGCCAGTTGTCAAAGTCCTGAAATTTTTCTGGGACTGTAATTTACTCTTAAGCAATCATCTCTAGAAAGCAGTCATGGTCTCTCTCAACTGAGTCCCAAGCACCTGTTTGTATTGTCTTCACCTGTATTTAACAGTCACTTTAAGGAGAACCTCTCATCTAAAACTAGGAATAAATTTTCAAGTCAAATGTATTCCATGTCTGTCTATGGCAACACCATTGCTAGCCTGTTGCTACTGATTATTAACCATTTGTACCCAAACATCACTTTGCATATTCTCCATGCTGTTCTCTATACATTTCTTAAGATGCTGACAAGAAGAATTTGTTTAAAATAATCAAGAGCTTCTTGTAATTTTGAGGCTAATATTGTAAGGAGAAATTACTCTAAGGGTTCAAAGTGTTAACAGATAACTTGGAAACCTAATGGATTATCCATAAATCATCTGCATCGTGGAACTTTTTTCTTTTAATATTTTAAATACATGGCAAAAAGGATCTTCCCCAGCCACCCACTGCACCATCTGCTCCCAGCCCACTCCTGCAAGTACCTAATTACAACTTAAGGCAGAAAACACAAATTAAAGTGTTATCTCTTCTGAAACATTCAGATATGTAGGACAACGAGAACGGAGGACTTTTTTACATTTGAATATTATAAATGATTCAATTGTTATTGTCATTAAAATACACCTCGATAATTCAGGTCCTTTACTGCCAGAGAGTTTAATAAACTAGTCATTTAGAGTTTAACAAACTAGTCATTTTTTAAATCTTACATGTATATTGTAAATGGTCACACACATTAAAGTGAAACTTTCCCCTTATTCTAGGTGGAAATGATTCTGAGTCATTTTTGTCACAGCTGCCCTATGACAGTTACTACACATCTGAGGAGAGATTTACTGGAGAATTAACTGCTTATACCAAGAAACAGTTCTTTGAGGTAAAATAATGATACAAAAGTATTGGTAACTAACAAAAATTGAGACATACATGTACAGGGTTCGTACAGGTCATGGAAAACCTGGAAAGTCATGGAATTTCAACATTTCATTTTCCAGGCCTGGAAAGTCATGAAATTTAGGTGTGGGTCATGGAAAATCAATATGCTCTCTACGAGTGAAAGGCAACAAGACCCAAAGTTGAAAAGTTAACTGACGAATCCAAAAATCAGATTTAATTTCATTATAAATAAACAGAAGCACGCGTTGTGAGAATGTTTGCAAACAGGTCATGGAATCTTTCAAAAGGTCATGGAAAAAGTCATGGAAAGTTATGGAATTTTAACAGGTCAGAAGTGTACGAACCCTGATTTACATTGTACACCATCAAGATCTCAGAAGTAACTCTCCTCACTCTCTGCTACACAGTTCTTATGATTTTATATGTAAAAGTAATTCAGAGAATTTGGTTTTGGATCAACTAATAATCCCTTGATTGTTATTATTTTCCTTTATTCTCATCACTTGTCATTTTTTTAATGTATTGATGTTGTAAGGAGGAATTCTGTCTTTAGCCAGCTCTTCTAAACATTACATATTAAATAATCATGTGCATTGACCACTTTCATAAATGGCTGCTGGATTAATATTCTTTTGTTTGAATTTAAATTAGTCTTTCTGGCCTCGCTTGAGATAATGTATTCTTTTGAATTTTGTACTGGAGAACGAGGCCAGAAAGGCTAATTTAAAATTAAACAAAAGAATATTAATCTGGTAGCTATTTATGAAAGTGGTCTATGGTATGATAAACTAGATGTAATATAGCTTGTCTTTAGTTTGAAGGTAAAGTAAGTCAACCTTCAGATATTTGCTTTGACAGGGTTGAACACCCTGCATTTTCTTTTTTTTGTAGGGAATTGCTGAGATGGCAGGAGGACAAGAGAAATCAAGATATGAACTACTGGAAATAAGTGATCCTTCAACCCTGCTAGTGAGAGGTTAGGACCGAACACTACAGTATCCAACTGACATGTACATAAATTTGTGTAGAAGAATATTATTGTATCATGAGTTGTGATGTACAACCTAATTTCTTACATTGTGCTGTGCACATATCACACTTGTCATGGTAGACCTCCATTGGCTGCCTGTAAAATTTAGAATAATTTTTAAAGTTATTTACCTTTCTCAAAGTCATTAATAATTCATCAAGTTACAGACCAATCACGATACACCAATTTAGCCACATGTGCCATGTGTGCGTTTAGAAACCCCGGTGAAACACTAGACAGAGGCTTTTCCACTATACTTTGATGAAGTATCAAACCCTAGAGCTTGATAAAAATGTCAAACCCCACTGATGCCAAAATCATTCAGAATTTTTTCATTGTTCTTGGCTAATGATGCACGATTGAGAAGCAATTTCAAAAACTCGTGCTTTGGGTTTCATCGGGGTTTTCAAACACTCGAAAACAATAAAAGCACGTGGCCTATGGCCTCGTGCTCTCATCAGTTTTCTTGAAAACATAAATAATAAAACTGATGAAAGCACGAGGCCATAGGCCTCGTGCTTTCATCAGTTTTGTCGTGTTTGGAAACCCTGATGAAACACGAAGCACGAGTTTTTGAAATAATTAAAGCCGTACATGGTCTTGCACCTACATATCTCACTAGTCTTTTATCTCCTAAACAGTCTAGCTATAACCTTAGGTCTATTGGTAACCACATTCTTGCAAGGCCCAAAATCAAATCAGCCAAGACGACTGGAGACAGAGCCTTTGCGGTTGCTGCTCCAGTCTTATGGAATGCATTGCCACCCAGTCTTGGGAATGTTGGCAGTATTACTTTATTCAAGAAACAATCAAAGACACATCTTTTTAGGGAAGCATATTTTTAGATATTTTACAGTTTTTAACTATCGGACATTTTATTATTATATTACATTGTTAGTTAGCCACATCTTTCAATTTTATCTGCTGTATAAAGTGTTATATTATTTAAGCGCTATTGACCGAATCGAAATATGGCGTCCAACTTGAAATACCATTGTTTTAGACTTACTAGCCTCGTCTTGACGTGGAAACACAAAAGGATTATCACATGTGTGAGAGGCTGGTAAGTCCAGAACAATGGCAATTCAAATTGGACGCCATATTTCGATTCGGTCAATACATGTATCAAATGTAATAATAATATCATTAAATTGTAAATAATATTTTCACAGTCAGTTTTCTTTTCAACTTGTAAAGCACATTAGATCATATATCTAAGAAATTTTGCACTATAGAAATAATAAAATTATTATTATTATTATTATTATAATTATTATTATGCAAGTCTGCCTCCTCACTTTTTCTCCTCTTCCCTTCTGTTCACCTCTTCCTTTCATCCTTACCTTTGTCCAGATTTCCCCCTCTTTAATAATATTTTATTTCTGATTTTTTTTTTTTTTTTATCATTTCCTAAAAGATCATTTCTATTCATTTTCTTTCAGGTGAGAATAATGAAGTTAACCTCAATGACTGTGAAGAGCTTGCAAGACTGCAGTCTGTGTAAGTTTTTATTTAGCATATTAATGACTGGCTAAAAATGAGTAAATCTGTCTTGAACCCCTTAACATCTGAACAACAGTATGCATATTCTCCATGCTGTTCTCTGTACATTTCTTAAGGTGCTGACTGGGGGAATTTGTTTAAGTCAGTTGGAATTTAATTTTTCAAAGACAACAAATTTGCACAAGCCTGTTGGGTGAGTGCAATTTGTAGTCTTACACCAAATCACATAAGTAATCATGTGTTATCACTTATTAATAATTTACATGAAAAATGCATCATAGAAAATTAAGGTTACCGTGCACCTTCAGGGGTGTCTCGCGTGCAAGCAATGTAGCGCGTCCAGTTTAAACATTAGATATCTAAACCCCTATATCAAATTAAAGCTTATGGGACTGGCTATCAGACTGCACCAAAAATTATTTTTGGAAAAAATTAACTGTCAAATTTTTCATGACTTCTAAATGCAAGCGCCTGAATCACCTTTTAAGAGCTACAAGTCAAAGGGAATTTTTTCGATTGCTCTCAAATTTTGACAGTAGCTAGTTTTACATATAAACAACAAAAAGTTGTCTCCGAATTTTTTATTTCTAAATACTTTTTTTTCAACAACGATTTTTGTACGATCACTACATTTTTTTAAGTAATATGTCAAAAATGTTCTGTAACTTTTCACTGAAATTGAATATGACAAATCGCAGACTCTGTTTTTTAGTGCTTTGGCCCCAGAAACGGAGGAACACATCAAATGAGCGAAAAACAAAATTCGCTTTAACGTGTAACGTTCAAAAGGTGATTTGGGCGCTCGCATTTAGAAGTCGTGAAAAATTCGACAATTTATTTTTTTCAAAATTTTTGGTATAGTCTGATAGCCAGTCCTATAAGCTTTGATTTGATATAGGGGTTTAGATATCTACAGTTTAAACCGGATGCGCTACATTGCTTGCACGCGAGACACCCCTGAAGGTGCACGGTAACCTTAAGACAGACTAAATTTTGAGAACGCACATGCTACTTGTAATTTGCTCGGTGTTACATGAAAAAAAAGCACTCATTTTCACCCAATCGGAAGCATATGCTTTTTTCATGTACTGTACATGTACTTGCATTATTAACAACAAAACCTGTTTATTTCAAGTGACGTGGATCATTTGTATGTTTCATTTATGGTCCTAGTTATGCTTCAAGTGAAAGTAGAAGAATTCATAACATGGCTACAGCAACGGGAGTTACTGCAGCAGTTAAAGCAGCTGAGGAGAAGCTAAGAAACTCATCATGGGAGACAAACACACCAAGCAGTGATATGTTAAGGTCAGACACATTTATACAACTTTACACCAATATCTCTTTGTTATTGTTTTTATTCATTTTATAAACTTACAGTAGTGTGCGAGAGGGTTAGGTTAAGGATATGCTGTGACTGGCTGTTGGATTTTGTCTACACGTTACTAATCAACCTGACTTGATCACTGTTTTAGCCGGAGGGCAGACAGGCTGATAAATGATTTGACTTAAAGGTGGATTGTTTAGATGACAGAATGACATACTACGTAAATGACTGACTGACTGACTGACTGACTGACAGACTCACTGACTCACTGACTGACTGACTGACTGACAGACTGAATGACTGACTGACTGACAGACTGACTGACAGACTGACTGATTGACTGACTGACAGACAGACTGACAGACAGACTGACTGACTGATCGACTGACTGACTGATTGACTGACTGATTGACTGACTTACAGACTGACAGACAGACTGACTGACTAACTGAGAACTGGCTCTTTGACTTAATCACTGACTAACGGCTGGACTGACTGACTAGTTGTCTGTCCAATTGACTGTTTGACTGAAATTTTAACTGACTGACCTCTCGGCTGACAAACCATCCACCCATCCTGTTGACCAGCCAACAAATTTTTGATTGATACTCTAAAAACTACGCTTTTACCCACTTTCCAAAATCAGCATCTTTTTGTTACTAGTGCCAAACTTACTGAAGCACAAAAAGCTCTTTCTCAAGTCAAGATGGAGATTGGAGAGCTCACTGAGAAGGCCCTTCCTGGATTGGTGCAAGAGCTAGGAGAGCTTCAGGCAACAAGTATCTTGAAAGGGGACTATGAGTTGAAGATAGCAAGACAAGATTACTTTACTTCCAAACAAGATCAGGTAGGTTTTTTTTTTTTCCCTTGTTTCTCTACCTAGCTCAAAATCTACCATCTTATTCTGTTTGCTCGCATGAGACTTTCGACATTCTGATTATAGCAGTGTACAGGATGCGTGTCACATATTAACCAAGAAATAGTCTGCACCATGGTGACTTGATGTCGGATAGAGGTCGTGGTTGTGGTTGTTCTCATCTTGGTGAATACACTTCCATATGAAGTTTAATTGTTTGTTTCACCATGTAGGCACCTCGAGACAACTTGTTATGCTTCATACACCAAAAGGTTCTCTGTAGCATGGGAATACGGTTCCGAAGGTCTGGGGTCTGATTGTTCATTGGAACTCACTTTTTTTCTTTGTCTAACGCTCGTGACATGACAGATAACATCTTTAGTAATCAGGTAAGTATGTTGGCCCACAGAAACGTTAAGGAGACAACCAAGCATCAAGCAATTTGGTAATATCAACTAAGTTGAAATTGTTAACTGGCCACCGTAAAGAGTTAAAAAGCTGACGTTTCGAGCGTTAGCCCTTCGTCCTTCGCTCAGACGAAGGGCTAACGCTCAGCTTTTTAACTCGTTACGGTGGCCAATTTACAATTTCAACTTGGTTGATATTACCAAATTACCTTGTTACCCCCACCGACGCAGCACCACAGTTTCTTCAGAAACTTATCCCCTTTATTCAAGTATCAAACAGTCTGGATGATAACTATTTATAACTTCACAGTTGACGTGTCCCTTATTTCGAAATGTATTCCGAAAGCTGGATTTGAATCTTCCAATATTTCGCTCGAAGTGTTGTGATATTCCGCGCATTCTCTTTGTTGTTGGAGCAGTGACGCGTCGACAGATACAATTGAGGGTCGAAAGTTATCCCAGATTTCAATTGGTTTTGCTTTATTCGCTCTGTGATTGGTCCAGAAAACCTGCGCCACTTCCTCTACCAATCAGATGCAAACCTAAAAAACCAAGCAAAACTTGGTCGCTCGTGTTTTCCCGCGCTGACTTCTCATTGGCTCTTTAAGGTATTTCCTTTCTTCTGATTGGCCGTTGTGATTACTTTGGGTACGGTTTTACGAAACTCAGTCGAGAAGCGCTTTTATTCAGTCGAAGTGACTTTTCTCCCGATTTTTTGCTAGTTTTCGAATGAGGGAAATGCGCTAAATATCTTTTTTATTGTTTTTGCGCGGTACTGTATGACTTTCTATGTAAGTCATGCATAGATTACACACTAACCACTGAACCTCAGAGAGACTTGAGGTCACAGTTCCGAGTTTCTAGACACTAGAAGAATTTGCTTGCCTCTGGATCCGAGATTTTGACTAAATTGCGATTTACTTTTTCTAACCTTATTTTTTTGGTTTTTCAGGTCATCACCCAGCTTTTACTTCAGCGTTCTCGGCACGAGTTTCTCTCAATGGCACTTGAGGTTGAAGGACGCAAAAACCGTGACGTTCATCGTTTGTTCAGCACCTTGGAGAGTACGCTTGGTGATGCAGTCAAAGGAATTGATGCTCGATTTGTATCCTGTGGATACGGTTACCAGTTTTATCAAGAACAATTGCAAAATTTCACAAAATTACATACTTCTTTGCTTGCTGGAAGAATTTCTAAGTTGCGCTTCGATCATGGCTAAAAATCTGGAGAGGCTATCGCATGCATGCACCCTTACAAAGTCCATTGTAATCACTTTAGCGCAGTTATCATATTGAGTAAAAGCTGATAGTTCGAAAGAAACTGTTTGGGGCTGCGTCGGTGGGAGTAACGAAATAATTTGGATATATCAACAAAGTTGAAGTGGTAAA